GAGGTGTAGGCACCTCGGAATGATTGTGTTAAGCTATCACTAAGTCCCTCCCCCATCCACCTTTATTCTTTTCTTTACAATAAGGCTTTCAAATAAATCATGGTTGCACGGCAGTGAAGCATCTGTGTTGAACACTGATGTCATGCTGTCGACGACGATGATGATGTTTGAACAGCGATGACCCCATCATTCCGATATTTAGTCTACGGAAAGATAATTTATCGGCTGTTTCCTTCACAAAGGTCTGTCAGTCCTCACTGTCATGAGTAGGGACTTGTGCCCCCAGGTTAAAATCAAGCTCGGGTGCCCTGAAAAGTATGTTGTGCTGGTGCTCCATTTCTACTTTCTGGATAACCCCAACCTTTCAGTTCATGTTCACCTCCCTGGTAACATATTTGCTCACCGTCACTTTTTCCCTAACCCGCTGACAGGTCAGTGTTGTGTTCACGAGTGATGAACTCTTGTCCAAGGTGGTGAAAATTGTCCAACGCTGTCCTACCATCAAACGCATCATCTACTTCAGCAACGGTGTGTTCAATCGCGAGTTGTACACCGAAGTGGACAATCTGGCAGTGCCCACCGGTAGTGCCACAGCCAGCGTCGCCGAAGCACTCACCAAAGCTCCGCAAGACTTACACTTACATGATCTGATCGAAGTCGAACGGCTTGGTGCGGCTATCATGCTGGCCCAGCAAGAAGAACTAAAACTGAAACAAAGAGACAGTAGTGTTGCAACGGATGCTTCTGGTGAATGCAGTGGGATCCGCGCCACAAACTCGTCTAACAGTGCAACTTCCACGTCCTGTCAGGGTCTGTGGATGCCACCGGCGGAGGAACAGGCAAAGCCAAGCGATTTGGCCATCATAATGTACACAAGCGGGTCGACAGGTATGTCTCTTTTGTTCGATGACCCTGAGTTTCCGCTCGCCCAACAGAACTGTTTCCAACTACCATAAATATCTACACTTCTGTTCAAATCTTTTTGATGTGTGGATAGAAGATGATGCGGTTTAGCTTCTGAGTCGCTTCTTTTGGTGGTGGTGGGATTTTGTAGGATGCATACATGATTCTCGTCCTGTCGCAATTGTTCTGGTGAGTTCACACCAAAGAGCGGAAGCACTGGCGTTCAGTTTCGCTCTTAGTAGAGTTCATCAGCAGTGTGCAACTCCAATGGTCGTGCCAGGGTTTGAACTCCATACATCTGACATGCGAGGCGAGCGTGTTACCACGAATCGACCAGAAGTTTACGCTTTTTAACACACTAAATTCGTCACTTTGGGCCTCCAAACACCCGGGGAATTGTTGTGAATTGTTTTTCAGTTCGTAGATGCTGTTTTTCCCCCATACTATCCGAGATAAACGTGTGTAGACAGTTAACACTTCGGTATGTGCATGAATGTGGATTAAACATGCTTGCGGCATGTCGATCCGCCATCTAGCTATGTGCTTCACGTAACGGTATCTTTGAATGTCTGTCGCGGTCCTCATGGTCCTCAAGGATGGATCAAGCGATTGCTTAAGTCGATACCCCCAAGATGGACTGTAGTGAGTCTTCTCTTCGCGCCGCTTCACCGAGCAACATCGCCACCACCAGTATCGGTGGGGCGGCTGGATTCCCCAATTCTCCAAATAACGTCAGCGACGGACCAGCTCATCCGTCTACTTAAACTGATGCACTTTACGTGGTATGATTGAATGTCTGCCTTTCCGAGCGTGGTCCTTCCCGGGCCTCTAGCCCCTGTGCCATCTTTCATGATCAACCGTCCACAAAATCGTACTTACCTTGACATTTTTGAGCACGCATCAAATGTCGATTTCACTGATTGCCCTTTCATACCGGTTTTTAACTTTTCTCCTTGCCAAGCGCGTTGACGTTCCAAACTAACCGTTAGTGCATCAAACCGAATCGTAAGTACAGTCGCCTTTGCAGCGCAGCCCGTTCAGTTTAGTGATGGAGTCCGTTAGGGGGTTCTTTACGTCCGGATTCACCTCGTTTAGAGGAGTGGGGAACTTGGTTGCCACACTCAGTTGTTCCGCTCAATCTATCCGCACCTCATGTTTGTATGTTGTCTACTCCCGACACATCACACTAAACGGAAACGTTCATTTGGGCGGCGACTGAGAAATCCTCGTGCTTTGGTAAGAGCCACTGTTGGTGATCAAAACATAGGACTACTTCGTCCCACAAACTCGCCGCGTAGTTTTTTTTTCTACCATAAAACCATCTTCCTCTGGGGATTGTGAGCGCTGACTATACGCGAATCCCGTCATGTTGTACCCTGTTGGACAGGTTAGACAGGTTTTAAACAGTTTTACACAGACCCAGATACTGATTTGTTCTGATGGCAGATTCTGGTGTGCTTCGTGTTAACCCTCCACCTAGAGTTCACAACGGAGATTGATTTGTTGCCGTGCTCACGCCATAAAAGGAATGTTGATGTTTGTTCCATCCCGATGCTGATCTAGGAACATCAGACTCGTGGTTCTGTGGTATGGGGGCGAGATGGCTCAAGTGGTCAGAGCGCGAATTTACTGACCGGAAGGTCCGTGGTTTTGAACCCGACCTCTGCCTCTCAACTTCCCCTGTCTAGGCTTGGGCAACCTGACAGTACCCCAGCCCTCGTGCAACCTTCGGGTGGCATGGCAGCTAGACACCGGATGGGTGCAGCAGCTGAATGATATCTATATATCTAGTTCTGTTGTATGAACGCCATTTAGTAGGCCAATGCACCAGTGTCCTCTCCACAATTCTCTCGGTTTTTATTATCACTGTCAATATTCCCGTTGTCTAAATAAAGGACGAACCCTCCCGTACGAGGTTCATTCCCTCTCTATTCCGTTTTGCTTGTCCCAGGTCAACCCAAAGGCGTCGAGCTTACGCACGAGTGTCTGGTCAGTGCGATTGCGGGCCACCTACAACGACTTCCGAAACTTCGAAGCAACTACGATATTTACATTGGTTATCTACCCTTGGCGCACGTGTTTGAATTGAACTGCGAATTGTGCTGTGTCATCATGGGAGTGCGTGTGAGTCAAACCTTTTCTGATCATTCTTCTCTAGCATCTTGGACTACCCTTTGATGTGGCCTTACTATCTTTGGGTTTCGCGCCTTCCGTACTCTCTTTATCCCTGAAGACTTTATACATCGAAGCGGTACCCCCCTCCCCGAACGAGATGGCGCAAGTGAGTGGAGCGCAAATTTACTGATCGCAGGGTCCGTGGTTCGAACCCGACATCTGCCTCTCGACCGCCCCTGTCTCGGCTTGAGCAACCTGGCAGTTTCCAAGCCCTCGTGCTTCCTTTGGATGGCATAACAGCTAGGCACCGAAAGGGTCCTACAGCTGAACGATTTATATATTTTAATCCAGATGGCATCGCTATTCAAAATATTGGTGGTGTTTGTTTGCTTCTCTCAGTACTGTCTTGCATCAGCCTGAGTCGGTGTTGCTCAATAAGATCTGAACTTCTCCGGATCCTGAGTGGGTCTTGTTCATGATATTTATTCGGTATTCATCGCAACGATGATCAAATAACTCGAATTTCCGAATATTTTCTACCTCCGACGGTTAAGTTTCACATTTCCAAGGGAACACTGAACGAGTGGCAGCCCGGAACACGCGGATTTCTCGTGTACGCTTCTTATTCATGGCGTACAGTTATCATTTCTTCCGTCCGGCTTTCCCAGGTCATAGTCAACCACACGTACTTAGAAGCAGCCGCGAGCTGAAGGCCAGTAGGATCTTCCCTGATAATCACCCTGACGTACTTTAATATAACTATTGCAACACCGTCCACCAGAGAGTACGTGTGGACGCAAGCTCCCCAGAAGGACATCGATTCGAATAGGACGATATCTAGACACTTGCTCATGCAACAACAAAAAGTGAGCGTGAGTTTGTCAAGGCATAGAAGAATCGATCGATAAACATATTGATTTTGATGCAATCAACCAGCCCCTACGAACGAAAATAACCGCCTTTGAACCTTGGGAAATGGGACAACAGAAGAATAACAAGTAGGCAAAACAAGTAGAAGCATAATACTTAATAGTAGACTGTTCGATTGGCCAATCAGATGAAAGAAAGACGTAATATAATACAACAAGCAAGCGAACCAGTCAAAACGGAGACACAGAATTGCTAAACCGGAAGTTTTCCACAAATCAGTCAAGTACCACAACGAAGCACAGATTACAAACACACCAATCAAGTTACGAGAAAGCCATCCCGCAACTGATCAAACACTTCGGAAATACAAAAACCACCACTCATCCCCGGCTGGTGGCGAAACGTTTGCAATCCGATTGCCAAGCCTGCAGAACAAGCCAACAGTCGAGTACTTTCATCAGCTGACGAGAACCACACTAGCTGAATATTGTTATTACTATAGTTATTAATAATAATCGTGCAAATGTAATAATGTAATGCTCGGCGCATAGCTTCCCTGTAATCCGAAGGAAACAATCAGGGCTGGGATACCAAAGTTGTATTCGGGTTCTCCAGTTAGTGAGACTTGGCCTATTCGAGCAGCGGAACTGAGACGTCTTCAAGTGTTCGGCAATCATTGTCTCAGAATCATAGCTCGTGTGGATTCGTGTCGGCGAATCCGTAACGAGGCAGTTAGAAGGCGCGTTTTCGGTTGTGCAACGGGTATCTTCATTGAAGAATGTGTCCAGCACCAGAGGTTGCGTTGGTTGGGACACGTGTTGCGTATGCCGAACCATCGTTTGCCGAAGAGAGTTACAAGATATGGCTGCCAACCGATGTCAGTGACGTTCTTGTTGTCAGTTTCTATCTAGATTGCCTGAGTGAATATCTGGATGTGTAAGCACCTCGGAATGATTGTGGTAAGCTAGCACTGAGTCCCTTCCCCATCCACCTTTATTCTTTTCTTCCCAATAAGGCTTTCAAATAAATCAGGGTTGTATGACAGTGAAGCATCGGTGTTGAACACTGATGTCATGCTGTCGATGATGATGGTGATGATGATGATGATGATGATGAGTTAGTAACTTCATACCTTTACCACTGAGCTATCTCAAACTCAGGTTAGCTGGAGAGCGGGCGAAGTACAAAGGAGTTTGTATCGCGGAAGTACTTTTGCAACGGGGCTCGAAATGTCACTCCAGATGCGAAAACGTCGCTTGTACTGGGGAGGGATTGCCGTGGCTTATACCTCACTTTCAAGCTTTACTGTATGAATGTTATACGACAAGATTGACCTGTCACTTGATTTGACCACTCTTCTCATATCTGCTTGGTGTGTTTGGCTTAATCGATTACCTTGCCTGTGCTTGTTCAGCTCGCTGAGGACAATTTGCACGCTGAGTGGAAGCGTTCCGACGCGTCATCATCATCGACAGCATGATATCAGTGTTCAACACTGATGCTTCGCTGCCGTACAACCATGATTTATTTGAAAGCCTTCTTGTGGAGAAAGGAATCGGGGTGGACTAGGAAGGGGCCTAATGCTACCTCACTGCATTCATTCTCCGAACACTCATTCAGGCAATCTGAATAGAAACTGACAGCAAGGTCGCCGCGTACAAGATGGGAACTGACCTATTGGTCTAGGTTGTGAGCTGGACGGGGTTTTGTCACGTGATTTGTGCGTCTGCGGAACAAAGGAATCGCGTGATCAAGTGAGCACGGATGTACTAGACAAATTAAGCGAAGTTGGTTGGAAGGACAATCCCATCTAGAGCAGGCAGTCATGTGGTATGCTGTTCAACGGAGTTAACTGGGATAGGTTGATGAGTCAGTGCCGCGGTATAGAGATCGGATCGCAGACTACTTATGAAAGTAAGCGGTCCGTTTGCAGATTGACAACGCATGGTGAGAGTATCGGGTGCTGTACTTTCATACGAAAAGAATCTTTCGGATGTAGCACCCTTTCAGTGCCCAGCTGCCATAGGTGCTGTACTTTCACCCGAAAGAATCTTTCGGATGTAGCACCCTTCCAGTGCCCAGCTGCCATGCCACCTGAAGGAAGCACGGGGGCTAGGATACTGCCAAGTTGCCCAAGGGGAAGTAGAAATGCAGCGGTAGGGCTCGAACCACGGACCTTCCGGTCAGCTAATTCGCTCGCTAACTACTGAGCCATCTCGCTCTCAGTTGACTTATGGGACGAGACGCTTTTGTGATGAATTTCCAACACTTGTTTAAAATGAATTTGCCACATTCTCTTTTTATGTCTTTTGCTTCGCTCCCCCCCCCCCAAAACAGATTGGTTATTCAAATCCGCAAACTCTGACAGATACCTCTTCGCGGATCAAACAGAACTTTTGCAAAGGTGACGTGACCCTACTGCGACCAACCCTATTTGCCAGTGTCCCAACCGTACTTGAACGCGTTTCGAAAGCTGTCTGGGAGAGGGTCAATGCTGGTGGGGAGTTCTCCAAGGCAGTAAGTTTTTCACAGACCGAAACCTGGCCATCATTTACTAATCAAGCCCGGGACTGACTGTACGGGTTTTGGAGAGTAGGGCTTTGTCTCAGGTATCGTTCACATCCACCGATTCATTGGCAGCAATCTTTATGAGTGGTCCGAACCTGTGGGCTTTTGACCTGTCACGATACAGGATTCAGGCTGTTCATTATCTACCCGCTACCGAGAGAAGCTTTGTACAGTTTATTCTACCGATATTTCGGGGTCCAACCTCCGTCCGCCTAGGTCGATGACTGTCCTGTGTTTAGTTTTCACTCACTTACACTGTTGACTCTGTCTCATAGGATATCGTCACTATGCTGTCTTCCTATTGGTTTCTTTCGGATTCAAGGGAACTTGCTATTTCCTCTTTTGGTTCTGAGCGGTTGTGAGCGCATGCACTGTGGTAACGGTATTTTTCTCAGCTCGGTTCTCGGTTTGAGCCTCCCAAGCTAACGTTCACCCCAAAGGTGCACAAGGTATATTAACGCCCCAAACGAAGTCAGGAACACTTGTACAGCGCTTCATANTGTATATATATAGCGTAGGCGGCAATAACTTTCTGGAAATTCTGACGCGCTCTGGATACTACATTGGCAACCGGCATTCGGCCAATACTGGGTCATGATTGGCTGTTGGGTCCAGACTTTTGACCAATCAGATCTCGGCTTGATGCCGGGCCGGCAAGCATCCCGAATTTTTGGCCAGTCTTGCATGGGGTGGACTTCTCGGCCATAGCAGCACCTGAGTGCGAGCGGTAAAGAGGAGGGATCCGTGTGGAGTTCCGCCTAACATGCACGCACTTCGATTCTGTGCATGTATCACAGAGATCACACAACTCGATGGAATAGCTCAAAACTAAGGTTGTTGGTGGAACACACGAATTGTAAGGTTGCTGAAACCCTTCGATAGCCTACGACCGGTTTCGCTCTTCCACTTCAGGGTCATCAGGCATTCCTTGGAGTTTCCGTCAAACTTACGTTCCACTTGAACATCGTCCTTTCTTCGTGCCGCCTGAACTCGGTCCTCGGCAGGCGCCCTAATTCGTTTCATTTTAAAACGCCGTCGAGGTAACCGGTTAGAACATTCAGATTTTCAGTACAATTCCGGAAGTGTATTTGATGAGTTTGGTTTGGTTTGCTTCTTGGTTCAGCAACCACCGCACATCTAGCTAGCTTGTCAGCTGTAATAACCACGTACTCGTTGTACAGTGGTTGTAGCTGCTGCAGTTTCGTTTGCCGATGATCTGGGGCGGGGGTAGGTAGCTGCGCATTGGAGGCGGGAGCTGATAAATTGGTGCATAAATCCAGCATTGTCAGTGGGCTGTCAAGTGGGGGAAGGGAGCTATGCACTGAAGGCAATAGCTTGGATGCATGAGCGCCATTGAGGGCGCGACTGGGCCATGTTTGACAATGTCACTAACCGTCTCGGGGTCACCATCCAGGAAGACGGTAGTGACCAGCGCACATCTAGCTGCTTCCTAAAAGAATTCCACCGGCAACGATGAACAGAGACATTACCCTAGCTGGTCGACCGAATTAAGCGTAAAGATGATCACATTTCAGAGTATGCAATGTTGCTTATAGGTCATCACCAAAGGCTGTTAGTTCTGTACATCTCACATTTGCTTATCCAGAAGCTCTTTTCTCAAATTCCACTCTACGTTCACTTTTGCTGTCTTCAGTCTGTCCATGACTGATTCAGGTCCCTGGTATTTGTGCTTCATGCTTCATGCTCTCAGGACTGACCACATGAAAGAGTGAAATAAGAATCGATACGTCACTATACCATTTTCGCTACTTGGATTGCCAATGTTCCATTGCGGAGGGAGTAGACTGATGTGTTTCCGTCCAACTTAACCACCTGACGTTAGTCTGCCAAGGAAATGGAGACAAAGCTTCGTCTGCTGAAATGGTTCTCGCACTTTCCGCGCGCCGTTCCGATATCAAACCCGGTCTCTTATCACTTCCAGATCGTGCTTCTTCTCACTGTGCATTAATTTCTTCAATTCATTATTCCACAAGATGTGTCATCTTCACTTGGCTCCATCTGCGTTCCATTCAGCAGAGGGGGTCTTCCTCGTTCAAACGTGAAGGACTTTGTAACACGTGATGCACGCCTTTGATCCTCAAATGGAAGTTGAGGGGTCTAGTTTCTACTTGAGGTGTTGTTTTAGCATTTACTTCCCGCGAAAATTTCTGCTTGGCATTAGCCCACCCACCCTCCTGGTGGGTTTTTTTTGCTTCTTTGTCTAAACATGTATGTGCATCTGTTGTCTTGGTTAAACGAACTCTCTCGCATTGCATGAGGTTCCTTTTGCAGCACACTTGTGAGAACATATAATTCCCCATCCATGAATGACAACTCAATCGTACTACTGTATTGCTCTTGTCGAGCCATCGAAGATCAAGAGCACTTCAACTCAGCCCCTGGAGCATCACTGGTAGAGTCCATGAGCCTCTCACATGTCCGGTGTACAGGGGACTCCGTGAAGTGGCTCTGCCGGTGTTTCGCATCTTCTGGGCGTTCCGTTCAAACCAAAACCGATCATAACTTCACTAAACAGTCATCTTGGTTAATGAAAATTGAGAAGAATTGGGTGGCCTTAATGTCGTTTCGCACACCGTATTTTACACTCGGTTGTTTACTTGTTGTGGTGTGCATCACAAACTGAAGCCGTAGAACTTGTATTGTTCAGTGTGTTTTGATCTCTTCGTTCGGTCTAACATTGGTTGCTAACAAGTCGGGTCAAACTGTCGACGGTGTACAACATCTATTCAGATTGATAGATGTGATCGGCGTGTGTGTGTGTTCAAGAGCTCTGGCCACCCCGAATGTCACCCGTTCACAGCTGAGACGTGCGGTTCACGTTTTATGTCTATGCTATCAAACTGTCACCTAACACCGCCAGTCCGCTGACTGTCGAAAGGTGACGTCGTACTCGTTCGTTTATGGTATCTTATTGATCGATCGTTCGACGTCCAGGAATTTTGGCACCAGCCACGACACTTGCGATAATTACGAGCTCACTTGACGTGTTCGGGCTTGGAATCTAGGGTTATCTGTGTTTCCTTTACCAGCGGCTTTCTTTTTGTCGTATGGCGTCCGATGAATGTTTGATCTGCCATGCCACCCGAAGGTTGCACGAGGGCTCCCAAGTTGCCCAAGCCTCCTAGACAAGGGAAGTCGAGAGACAGAGGTCGGGTTCGAACCACGGACCTCACGGTCAGTGAATTCGCGCTCTAATCACTTGGGCCATCTCCCTAGGCGTTACGTGGTCAAACAGCTTGACTAAGAAAGTTCTGTGTTCATGTCGGAAACATCCCATGCCAGCTACGACCTCATGTGTGATCTGCTGAAGGAAGAACAAGTACCCTGTTTTCCCTTTGAAGTATCCAGTCTTTCGAGGTTCTATTTGCCCTCTCTCCCCTATTTTTTAGTTGGGCATATAACGACAGATACGGTCCGGTAGTCTTTTTCACACGTTTACCCAACTCTCATTGTCTCTTGTCCCCTGCCGTCTCAGTTATTCCGTTTCGCATATTCCTACAAATGTCGCCGCATTCATGGTGGCTTCCCCAGTTTTCTGGTGGATCGACTCATCTTCCGAAGGGTTCGATCACTAATGGGCGGGCGGTTGCGCTACATTGTCAGTGGTGGCGCCCCGTTATCGGAGGATTCTCAACTGTTCGCAAACATCTGTCTAGCTCCGATCATCCAGGGGTAAGCATTGCTTGTTTGGTTATTTATTGTTCCGTAGTTCTCATTGTGTCTACATCTTTTATTTATCACCAGTAGTCGAAGTTCACGGCTAGTCAGTTTGTGGCTAGGCCTGTTTCGTTTATTGGTTGTTGATCAAGTGGCTGTTGATCTGTTCGCCGAGCTTGGCAATTGACTTGCAAACGTTTCGTCACCATACGAGGAGACACATCAGTGCGCAGTTGAGTGGGTACTGCTTCCTTGCCTGTGTGCGTTTATATAGCATTCGAAGGCTACCTGTTATCCTCTGAGGTGATTGGCTACTTTAGGTGGTTTTGATTGACGTCATTGCTTAGCTGGCTGGATATTTTCTCTCTTCCGAATTGTGTTCATGAAGCTTTATAAAAAGTTCCCCACACTTCTTGTGTGTATGATTGTTTGGACGTTTTCTTGCCGGTAGTGTAGTGAACTGTTCACGAGTGCCACTGACTGTGATCGGTCCGTTAGACCCCACCCTCTTTGTTCATCCTTCCCCTATTCTGATTGGTCTATCTATGAATTGGATTGCGCTGTGGTCTGCCCTCCTATTTTCTGGTTGGTTGTTTGCCCACATCTTGGTTTCAGTGGTTTTTGCCCTTCATTTTGTTTGGAACGTCCAAATTCTCAAGTTCCATTGGTTTCCTTATCTATGGGAGTTGATGGACAGGGTCAATCTCAATGCACTTGTTTATTGTTGAATCAATAGTTTATTCTCCTTCCATCGCCTAGCGCCCTTTCTTCTGGGGTGGTGATAGTGCTCCAACCGAATTCGTATCCTTCCTCGTCTTCATTTACGGAGACGAGTGAGAACCTATGGTGTCTCCTCGTTGCAAATTTATTTTTGGTTGATTCCTATCTCTTTCCTAATTACCTCACCTGTTGTTTGTCGCAATCCTTTCATCGGATTATATAACGACGTTAGTCTTTCTTGTTTTATCTGATTTGCCGCCCGATTTTCGTGGGGCTTTCTGTAGTATGTTCGTGAATTGTGTGCGCTATTCATTTGCAAATCAATTTGGTTTTCACGAGAGACTCAACTGAATCTCTCGTTTATGATATTCTACAACTGAATGTGCCGCACAAAGACCTACCTGGTGAGCTTCAAAAAGGGCGAAACCGGTCGTGGGCTGTCGAAGAGTTT